TCCGTGGCTGCCTTTGGTCTTTTCACATACAGCATCTGCATTTTCAGTCAGTGCCTTGAGGTACTGAACTATCATGTCATCAGTCGTCACGATTTTCTTCAGAAACTCTGGCACAACTCCATCATGAGATATGACGTGCTGAGGTTCAGGGTCACCAGGGGCTAGTTCTCAGGCCCCAGGAAATGGGGAGACACTGCCAATGTGCACCGAAGGAGACCTGGCCATTGAGGAGAGGCCACATGGCTCCCTGAGTGGCACCCCTGCCTTCTGCATGTACTCTGTCAGATCTGTGGCTCCCCTGTCAGGGGCCAGGCATTCTTGAACACTCGATCCAATTTTAATCCACACTGTGCTCAGACATGCAGATTCCCTGCATTTGCAGAAAGCAGTGGAGAGCTCTACCGCTGAGGCCCCAGAGCCAAGCAGGAGCCTGGGAGTCGAGCCTGAGAGAAGATGCCTGCACCTCGTCAGAGTTGCTAACTCCAGGACCAATCGTAGTCAAAGGAGACACTTGCTTTGCACTCATTAATGAGAATAATATTTGGGATTTTAAAGCACACCTGGAATAGCTAATTATAGCCTATTAAAACTGTGAATGTCTGTAGTAATCCTGCATGTAAAGGTGAATGAACTCTTTAACAAGAAATTACGTTCCTGGCCAAAACATGCTATTATTGCACATGGAAACCCCTCAACGCAGTTCCGCTGCGAAGAACAGATCAGTCACTTTAGTTTCATTGAGAACAGATATTTTCCTAAGTGAAAATAATTTCTTAAGATTGGAAATAGATTGGGCTATGAAATTCACATTTCTGGTGATAAGACTTTATCTGCTCGCTTCATGCATGTGTGGTTGCCGAAGCCTCGGGGTCGGGGATGTGTCTGGTGTCATGCTTGCTGAACGGCCATTGCTGAGGGAGCTATGCCGCCGGGCTTCCCGAGCCCCTGGGACCTCGGCGAGCCTCCCAGAGGAGCAGGTGTGCGCTTGGACCGGAGCTCCCTGGCGGAGACTTGTTCCACACTCGGGGAGTCGGCGCTCCACAGCAGCAGCCTGGAGGCCACGCCCTGGGAGCAGCCTTTCACAGGTGAAGTAGTGTCCACAGGAAGGAGACAGCGTATGGTGACAAGGAGCATTTGGGCGAATGTCATGCTTCTGTACATCAGCTAAGCAGAACTTTTGAAGGATAAAATATACTTGACTCTGGATGTGCAGAAATGTGCAAATTAACCTGAATCACAAAACCCTTGTGTTATTGAAATTTAAGATTCTTATTTTCAAGTTTTACATGTCTTGGGCCTATTAGTTTTTGCCCTGTTTTAAGTGAGTTTGGTAATGTTTGAAAATCTGTGTAACTATTTTTTATGGAAGGCCCTAACAGATCCAGAAGTCTGTAAGGGCAAAAATAGAAAAACAAAATTAGTATGAGCTCAAGAAACAAACTTTGAGTGGAGCAGCTGTAGATACTTTAACTAATGGCTAAAAGCATAGATTGGCAGGCAGACCAAGCATGCATGACACAAAACTATTACTGTACGTGACATCAGAGCTCACTTCTAGATGCTAATTTATAATGATCTTTCTTTCTTTCTTTCTTTCTTTCTTTCTTTCTTTCTTTCTTTCTTTCTTTCTTTCTTTCTTTCTTTTTTGCGGAATTAGGGATTGAACTCAGGTTCTTGTGCTTGCCAGGCAAGTGCTTTTTCTACTGAGCCACCTCCCCAGTCCCAGTGATCGTTTTTTTCTCTCTTAGTTTTGCCTTTATAAATATAAACCAGCCAGGATTTTCTCTAGGGTGTGTCATTTAGCACATTTTCCTTGTACAAGTTGTACTGACATTTTCTTTCACAGGCTAAGCTGCACTGAGTGCCTTCTCCTTTTAGCCAACACTATGGACTTACAGCCAATGAGGGTCATAAGAGGAAAGAGGGAGAGCAGTAGATTATGGGATGGGATCTTGGTTCTATTTTTTTTTTTTTTCTTTCTGCACTATCAAATACTGCTGGATGCTGCCTGGCCACTTTTCCTGGCAGGTGAAGTCCCTTGCTTCCACATTGCCCTGATCTTTTCCTTAGCCCTACCTGCTGAGGTGTGCAGAGCTGGCCTCGTAGAAGCAGTGTTCCTTTAATTGGCTAAAAGAACGTGATGGAGTCCAGCCAGGGTGTTGCCACTGCCCAGGAATGGCAAGGCCGAGACCTGCAGGGGCGAACAGCCCTTCCCCCCTGATGGCTGGAATCTGGGCTTGAGCTGGAGCCTGGGAGCCTCCAGGGCTAGGACGTGAGCCAACACCTCGGCTGAGGCCGCAGGACTCAGAGAATCATACCTTCCCTGAAGCAGAGGAGCCGGCTCTGCCTGTGTCAAGCGATCCCTGTATTACTGACTGGGGCCTCTGTGCCTGGCCCAGCACCACTGTTATGGCTACAGCCGGTGCCTGCGGTTCCTCTTCCTTGGTGACTCCCACCTACCTCACTGACTGATGCCAGCACAAGCCATGAGATACTGGGCTAGTGGCCCTTGTTCCACAGAGAACACTGGGCCATCCCAGAGCCCCTAACTGCAGAGCCTCCCCTCTGCCTTTATTTTGCATCCGTGTGGCGTATTGCTGTGGGGATGGTTGGACTGACACCCTCCATGAGGGTTTCAGTAAAATACATTAGATATGGCCTCTAGGTTCTCCTGCTGGTGGCAAGAAAATGTGACCTTCCAGGGGTTTCTATCCTACTCTCCCAGGATCCAGCCCCAGCACAGGCCGTCCCCAGCCAAGAGCACTGTATGTTTTCCTGCTTTGGGCATAGGAATGGGGTTGGAGCCATTCTGGAGAAAGGGAAACTCCACGGGCCAGCGTAGTGCAGTAGAAGCAGAGCTAGGCTGTGTGTTAGGAGGCTGGAATCAGTTTCTTTCTTTTCTTTTTTTTTTTAATATTTATTTATTTATTTATTTATTTTTGTGTGTGTGGCCAGCTCAGCCCACCAGGGGGCGGGGCTGGGCTGGCATGTGGTGCTGGGGGATCGAACCGCAGTCCCTGCGCTCTGCTTAGTTTAGCTTGTTCTAAGTAGGTGCTTTAGACCACTGAGCCATCTCACCAGCCTGGAATCAGTTTCATGTGCACTGACCAGCAAGTGTGTTTCCCAGGGGCTCCCTTGGAGTCTCAGTTTCCTCATCTGTGAAATGGGCTGAGAATATCTCCATGTGGCAGTTAAGCTCCACTGTCTACCGGATTGGCTGTGGGATCCATCCTGAGGGCTTGTGGAGCAAGCTTCTGGGGTGTTGAGGTAGGCCACAGAGGTGTGGCTTGGGGACACAGCATGCTTGGTCTCTGTCACCTTCCTCTCTGGTGCCATTTCCCTACCCAAAGCCCCTTTTCTGTGGCACACTCTCCTGTCATGTCTTTACTGTGTAGCCAGCTGACTTGCACTGACTCCTCTGAGACAGTGAGCCACAGTGGACGCCCTCCTTCAATGGTGGGTGTTGGGTACCCTGCCCCAGAGATGGGCCTGCGGGCTAGTGCCGTGTGGCTGGGGTCAGCACCCACCCTCAGTGGGTTACAGGTCCAGGCAATGCTGGCTGCCCAATGCCCTTTGCCCCTAACTCCCAGCCTCAGGCTCTCTGATTAGGATGGCCATGGAAGCCATTCCGAGGTACACACCTAGAATGGCCATGAGCCCTCCGGTGATTGGTGGCACAAATGTGTCACTAGGGGTCATGGCTGCAGGGAGCTTCAGGCTGTCGAGTGCAGCCACCCTTCCCTTGCAGTGTTGCAGCCCTTCTTGGAGGTACAGAGAGATGCTTAAGCCGAGCTCCTTTCTGAAGCAAGGGTGGGGCAGCTGGCACATTCGCAGGAGGAAGCTCGCTGGTCTCCAGCCGATGCCTTAGTTGAAAAAGACCATAGGCGGCACTGCCACTGTCTTGTGTGGCCCCCGAGATATCGTGCTCATCCCCCTGAGCATGTGACCTGCTGCAGCCTACACTATGGAAGAGGACAGAGGGACAGAAGTGAGAGGGGGCCGGGAGCTGCAGGTGGGGGCCCTGTGGCTCACAGGGCAGCCGGGGGAGGCCCCTTTGGCAGGTGACAGTGTGTATCTGTGGGTGAACAGCCTGGCAGCTCCTGCTCTGGGGCGGGGCGGGCACCGCAGCTCCAGCAGTAACTTGTTGATTATATGTGACCGTGACGAAATGCACACAACCTCACGAGCCTACCGTTGGGACCGTTTTCAAGTGCTCAGTCCACCAGCTCCGATCCATGATGCTGAGGCCACCCCTGCCCATCCAGACTGAAACTCCCTCCGGTGTTCCACATGAGCTCCCCTGTGGAGAGGCTGAACCCGCCACGCTCCTTCAGTGGCTATGAAGATGCCTGGGCCGTGCCCCTCCTGGGGTGGGCGGCTGTTGCCACTGAAGTGCGCGACCACTGAACTCATCCAGTGGCGTGCAGACAGATGCCTAACGGCTGCCTGTGGGGGCTCAGGGGCACCACCGTGTAGCCCCAGTTCTGACAATGAAAACTATCACTCGCCGTTGCCCAGAGCCCCTCACCTTTATCGAGAACTACAATGCGCAGAATTCCAGTGTTAGTTTCTTTACAATACTTGCACCATGGAATCTGAAACTCTCAACAAATTAAAGTGACTAGTGTGTATTAGCTACACAGAATAACTGCTTTCATCCTTTGCATGCATCTAACGACACACTTTATTTTCACTTCCAGCCCTCCCCTGACCTCTGAAGCCACCCAAGCATTCCCTGAGCTTCATACACCGTGTGAGCCAGTGGGGAGCCATGGCTTTGACCCTCCAAAACCGTGAGCTGCATGAATCGCTCTTTTCTGCATAAGTAGCCTGATCAGGAGTGTGGTAAGAGTGGGGAAGACTCGCGATCACACACACACACACACACACACACACACACACACACAGGCTACAAGCTCCTGGGAGGCCGGAAGTCCTTGAGTTCAGGGACAAGGTCACTCATACACCGCCTGCCGTGACAGAAGACTGAACACATGGCATGAATGCTCCCTCATATTCACAGATGTATTATTTGCTAAATGAGTGACTGAAAGGCAATTAGCCATAGCCATTTGTGTCCCCAGGGATCAAGGGCAGGAAAGCAGAGGCAGCGGCGCACAAGGCAGCGGTGCACAAGGCAGCGTGTAGGAGCAGCAGCCACGCAGAGGCACAGGACTGGGGCCTCGCTGTCACGGTCTCCCCCATGTCCATCTTCTCTCCAGGAAAGGGCAGCAGGGACTGACCAGGCTGAGCACAAGCGTGCGGTCCGGGTGCAAGTGGCGTGGGCACTGTGTGCAGCCTGGATGGGGGACTCTGTTCCGCTGTAGTGAGCCACAGATGCTTGCCGGGCCCTTAGCTCTGCTTAGGCCCCTGCTGGGTCAGTTGGCATGGCTCCTGTGGCCAGGTGGCTTCTGATATGTTTCATGGTTATGTTGGAAGTCCTGGGGAAACAGCCAGATGCAGTACACCAGGTTAAAGGAGGGCTGTGGCACGGGCAGTGTAGGTCCTGAAGGTCCTCTTGCCGGTGGCCAGGTAGAGGGCGACATGAGGACGGATGGGGCTCGTCTACCCAACCAGACTGTCCATACTCACAGGGTTAGCCCTGGCTCTTGAAGCAGCGCTTGCCCCTTGCCAAACGGCAACCACAACAAAGAGCAGGCCTCCTGCCAGGATCTTGAGCAGATTCAGGGCAGCGTTCTGAAAGCAGAAGGGAGGTGCAGGACATGAGCTGTGCTCCAGAATCTAGACGCGCGGGCTCATACGCCTTCCCTGCTGGGCTCCAGCCCCTCTAGGCCTCGTGGGAAGGCCTTTCCTGGGTTGTGTGAGCTCAGAGTTGGACACCCCCCAGGGCCAGGAGAGGGGCTGTTCAGGCAAACACTTGGCAGGCGTGTGGGTAGCCAGGGGGCTGAGGCTGGGGTGTCCCAGGGAGGGAGGGGAGACTGCTCTGCGCAGGCAGGTGGGGCAGGGCATGGTGCTCCCGGCCTCTGGGCTCTGCAGTGCGCTGGCTCTGATGTCACCTCCACCCTCGCTCTGAGGCGGTGTCCACGGTTCGAGGGGAACCACTGCCCAGCAAGGCCACGGAACGGCCGCCTCGATGCGTGGGGTCCGCCGCGAGGGAGGCAGTGCACGTGACTCGGTAGGCCCACGGCGGCAGCCGGGAAATGTACCCAGGGTCGGGCAGTTTTACAAGCGGCCCCGTTCTATCTTAGAGCTGTTTTCCGCGGTTGGTGGCCGCCGCCCCCAGAGCACCCCCTTCCAAGCTCGCGGCTGCTTTTTTCTCCCCCTGCCTGGCAGCACAGGTTAGGACACCCCATGTCCTGGTGAGCGCGCACAAGCGCACACGCACCTCCCCAGAGTCAGGGGTCTGGAGGTTGCGTTTGTTTCAGCAGGAAGAGCCACAAATCCAGAGTGGCCGGGCGCAGCCCACAGCGCAGCCGGGCTGCGGAGCGGGTCTCCGACGGGAAGGGTCTCTGGGCTGTAGCTTCGCTGGAGTCCGGGGCCCACGGACCTCCGTGGTGAGGGCCAAGGTCTCAAGGTGGGGCTTGGGGACAGACACCGCAGACCCAGGCCAGGGGCCACACCACCGTCCTCTCCCCTTGTCCAGGGCCTTGCTGCTGAGCTCTGTCTCCCGGAGCCCCCCCAGATCCCGTGCAGCTCCAGCTCCTCAGGGCCTCACAGCCTGGCTCCCCACGCCCCACCCCTGCGCCCAGCAGCCGCCCTGCGGGTTCTTTACAGCCGGAAGCATGCTGGGAGGTGGAGGGTCTGCGGGTCAGGGTGCGCGGGGCATCTGAAGGGAGGTTGGTGAGATCTGGGGAGGAAAGGGGTGGAAGGAAGGAGAAAGAGGGGGAGAGACAGAGACAGACAGGGAGGGAGGGAGGGAGAGACAGAGAGGGAGGGAGAGACAGAGACAGAGACAGGGAAACAGAGAGAGGGAGACAGGGAAGGAGAGAGGGACAGAGACGAAGACAGAGAGAGACAGAGAGAGGGTGAGAGAGGACAGAGAGACAGAGACAGAGACAGAAGGAGAGAGACGGAGGGAGACAGAGAGGGAAAGAGACAGGGAGAGGGGATGAGAGACAAAGACACAGAGAATGAGAAGAGAGAGAGACGGAGAGAGACGGAGAAAGAGACAGACAGAGATACACAAAGACAGACACCAGGCAGGCGGCGTGGAAACCGAGTGACGCCTGGGACCAGGCAGGGCAGGAACACAGCCGGTGTGCCTGGCAGCGAGGCTGCAAGCGCGGTCTGCCCTGGCGCAGGGTTTGCAAGGGCCGGGGCAGCCGGTGCGTGGAGAGGCTGAGGTCCGGAATTTGGGGAAGCAGAACCTGCGGAATGGAGTGTGGCTGATGGTGCACCGAGGACCAAGGGAGGATTGGTTTGTGCGCGAGATGCTGGTGGTAAAGCTCTGCAGAAGGGGAGTGGTAGGTGCAGAGGGAGTAGAGGGAGGGCTCCGGGGCGCTGGGGGTGCCCGGCTCAGGGGCACTTTAGAGCAAGACCTACGTCCTTCCTTGCCTCCCCCCTCATCACCCAGCGCTGTGTTCTGCAATGTGCCCACCACCTCTATTAAGACTGGGTGTTGGTAGAAAAGGAGAATTTTCCAAGGATTTTTAAAGACCCAAAGAGGGTGCTTGGTCGTCCAGGGGCAGCCCAGGGATGCACCCTGCGGTGGCCTGGACCTGCTGCAGGTTTCCTGTAGGACTTGAGAGGCCCTTACCGTAAACATCCTGAAACCGCAGGTGGCAGGCGCTCACAGGTCTCCTGCCTGGCTTTGTATATTATTTATTTATTTATTTATTTATTTTTATTTTTTTAAATATTTATTTATTTTTATTTATTACATTTATTTATTGTGTGTGTGTGTGGCCAGCTCAGCCCACCAGGGGGCGGGTCTGGCTGGCATGTGGTGCTGGGGATCGAACCGCGGTCCCTCTGCTTTGCCAAGCTTGTTTCAAGTAGGTGCTTTAGACCACTGAGCCATCTCTCCAGCCCCTGTATATTATTTAAAAAGATCAGTGCGTGAGGAAGCAGAGCAGCGCAAACTGCAAAGAAAAGGAAAGCGGACTTCCTATGAGTAAGAAGGCGACTGTGAGCTCTGAAAACTAGGCCAGCAGGGTGAGCACGTGCAAGTTGTCCTTGCCAGTATTTATGAGGCAAAGGGAAAGCAGCAAAGGCACTGTGATTGGCTGAGCTCAGGAAAAAACGATCCGTGGCTGTGGCTCCAACGCCCACGGTTACCCTTTCCTCTAAACCAAGCCTTTGGAGGAAGGGACGGCCCATTTTCAGTTTCGGTGTAGGAGTCAGGGTTTGGCAGGGTTTAGGGCGCTTCCACTGATTGGTTTTGCTTAGTCAAGAATTTCTTGGGCTCAGTTTATTTTATTATTATTTTTTAATGTTTCCGGAGACAGGGTGTCTTTGTGTAGCTCAGGCTGGCCTCCAACTTGGAGCAATCCTGCCTCAGCCTCCCGAGTGCAGGAATTACAGATGTGCACTACTATGTCCTGCTCAGTTTGTTTTAATTCTGTTGTACTGATGAGATCCTTGTAGTTTCACTTTCAGCTTTATTTTGCATTGCTGGATTCTGTCATCCATTAACAGGACATAGGAAACACATACACACATAGACACACAAACACGGCCCAGGAACCAGACTGCAGCTGGTCTAACGTGCTTTAATGGGGCCAGAAAAATAATTCCCACACAGCATCCAAGAGGCGCCCCAAGCGTCCGTCCCTGCTGCGGTGCTGCAGTGCGGAGCCCCCAGCGCCCACCCTGAGCGTGGAGCGGGCGTGGCTGCAGAGCTGAGCAGGCAGGCCTGGCACGACTGGGGCGACTGCCCGCCGCCGGCGCTCCCTTCCTGTTCCTCTACCAGGACCGGGAGGGCACTGGGGTGCCCCAGGACCTGGGGGACAAGCTGCCGGTGCGTGACAGCAAGGGTTCTGACCTCCACCCCCCACCCCGTCCCCGGAGGCGCATGGGTGAGCCTGGCCCCGCTGGCAGAGCCCTGCTGCTGGCTATGATCCCTGCTGGCCGGTGACCCAGGAGTCCCTGTCCTCTCCTTCTGTGTCTCCGTCTGTCCCTAGCAGAGTGGCCAAGAGCTCCATGTCTGCTCGGGTTTCTGCCATTGCCAAGAGCAGGAGGGGAGGCCAGGGCCCCGCAGAGGAGTGGTTCTGGGGCTGCTGCAGGGACCCCACGGGGCGCTGAGCCCAGGGGCAGACAGCAGCCTGCCAAGGGAGGCTGGGACCAAGAGGGCAGGCGCAGGGCAGGACAAGGGCTCCATCCACCAGCCCTGTGGCGCTGGAAAACCAAAACTGGGGTGTTGTAGACATGAATCCAATCTCCTGAGTTCAGCCAATCGCAGCTCCTTTGCTGCTTTCCCTTTGCCTCATAAATACTGGCCTTGGACAACTTTCGTGCACGCTTTCTATCCTGCTGGCCCAGTTTTCCAGAGTTTACAAATTGCCTTTTCACTCATAGGAAGTCCTCTTTTTTTCCTTGCAGTTTGCATGGCTCTCCTCACTGCAGCAGGGCAGAGGAGGGTCCCTTCCTCGAGGCTACAGCTGGGTCAGAACCTGCCCTCTGGTGACCTCGGGCACAGGGCACCAGGGAAGCAGGGTTGAGGGGCTTGAGGGCCTCGGGGAGGAAGGAGGCTGAGTCAGGCTGGGGCTGAGGCTCTGGGGCAGCAGAGGGCAGGCTGTATGGCTGGGAAAAGAGGCCAGAGGAGGAGCTGGCCGGCCCCCCCAGGTGGGTCTGTCCCATGGGCCCTCTCCAGGGCACTCAGGGGCTGGAGGCATGCAGGAGATGCTGCACAGTAGGAGGGGTCCATGGCCAACTCCATTGTCCACAGCTGTGTGGGTGGCCGAGGCCTCCCAAGGCCTCTGTGCTAGACCAATGCAGTCTCCAGGAGGCCCTGCAGCCTGAACTTTTCCCAACCAGCAGGTGGCATCTAACATGCCCCAGGGTGCAGGGACAGGGAGGTGCTGCGACAGCCCTGGGGCTGTGTCTTTGAGAGGAAGGTGGAGGCTGGACTCTGGCCGGCCGGCAGTGGGAGGAGCACCTGTGCGCTCTGTGGGAGAGCAGACTCTGGCTGCCTTCTCAGGGCCTGCCTGGGCAAGGGATCTGACGGCCTGGGGCCACGCACCTGGACCTTGGGCTGCTGGGTGCTGGCCAGCTGGCAGGCGCAGCAGGAGTTCCCTTCCTGATGCCCTGGGCTCCTTGGGAGTTAGCCCCGCCCTTTGGAATGACCAGGCAGTGCCATGGCTGTGGGGTTTGCCGCTGGAAACCTTTGTGTGCCAGTGTGGGCTTCCGATCTCTGCTGGGTGACACTGTGCCCCGTGGCTCCCAAGCCCCTGCCGTGTATTAATGTCAGCATCCTGGGGGTGAAGCAGCGAGATTATTTCCACATCAGACTGAAAATTGGAAAAAAAAAAAAACACCAGAGTTTATTTATAAGCCCAGTGAAAACTTCCCAGGTCACAGATCTTAAATGTCTGGCCAGCATCCGAACAAGCGTCTGGATCCTTGCAGTTCAGAAACTCATCTAGCTTTCTTCTTTGTTTTGTTTCTGCTTAAATACTTACAACATCTTAACAAGGGTGGAGAGGATTGAAGGAGGGACAGCACTTAACAAGGTGGGCTAAACTAGAGCTTCTTTTGCTAGGATAAAATTAACCCAACCTGGGGCTGGAGAGATGGCTCAGTGGTCTAAAGCACCTACTTGAAACAAGCTTGGCAAAGCACAGGGACCGCGGTTCGATCCCTAGCACCACATGCCAGCCAGACCCGCCCCCTGGTGGGCTGAGCTGGCCACACACACACACAATAAATAAATGTAATAAATAAAAATAAATAAATATTTAAAAAAAAAAATTAACCCAACTTTGAGCGCATCACCTACAGGGGCCCCACCCCAAGGCGCTGCCAGTGAGCGCAGCCCAGGCCCTGCCGTGTTTTACATCATTTTTAAAAGACCCTATGGGAACCTGCTTGCAGCACATGGTGCTTCTGTTCATCGCAGGGGGCAGATGCTTTGGCTCTTCCTGCTGCTCCCTGCCTTCTGCCCTCCTCCTCTCATGCCTGTCCCAGCTGCACAAGGCCTGTCTCTGTGTGCTGCGTGGAGCATGCACCACGCATTCTATTGCAGTGAGCATCTCTGCTGGCCTGGACTCTCCCGCCCTTATACCAGCCTGGGTTCCAAGCAGGAAGCATCAGGCCTCCTGTGGCTGAGGACCTTGGGGACACCACCAGTGCAGTGTCCCCTGCACACAGGAGGAAAGCTGGTGGGGTCCACGTGCCCTGGAGAGGCCAAGGAGCTGCCCTGCACACTTCAGCCTCCAGGACAGAAAACTGCCTGGTCTGCAGCAGGAGCAGGAATGCGTTTCCATGGCAACAGGGGGCTCTAACCCTTGTTTCCCTTCCAAGGTCTAAGGCAGTTCACACAACAGTTGCCATGACAGCCAGAGGCTGCCCCATTGTGACCCTGGGCGCTGGGTGCTGCCTGGGTGGGTCCTGTGCAGCAGGAAGGCCCTCTACTGTCCCATGGGTGAGGTCCCCAGGCTCAGGTGCGGACGAGTCCCAAGGGAGGCGATGTGCGCAGAGACACCAGGGCCCGGTGTGCGAGGCGCCCCTGGGGAGCAGTCGGGCTGCTGTGGGTGGGGTCACGGCCAGGAAGTTTCCCGTATGAGGGGAGCAGAAGGTCCTTTGGACAAGCGGCTTGGTTCCATTTTGTTTTTATTTTATTTTAAATTTTTGTGGAACTGGGATTGAACTCAGGCCCTGGAGCTTGCCAGGCAAGCACTTAGTCTACTGAGCCATCACCCCGGCACCTTCACTTTGTTTATTGTGTATTTCTTTTATAGTTGTATGCAAATTTTATTTATTTGTTGTTCAAAAAATAACACGCAATATAAACTCACTTGTCTCTTTTTCACGTAACGGTCTCTTGCGCAAATCACAGGTTCTAGAGATTCTCTTTTTCCTTGTCCAACTGTCGAGCCACAGCGAGGACACTGCCTCTGCTCTTCCACACAGGATGGTTCGTTTGTTCTGGACTTTGCTGGAGGATTTTAAGGCTAAACTTGCGAATAGCTGGCTCCTTGCCAATTCCTTCCAGAAAGTTCTGCCAACCTGCACGGTGACCATGTGTGGCCCTTTCTCCTCCCCACAATCCCATCTACAGGACCTGTCATTATGTCAAGATTTTTACCAGTTTGATGGGAGAAACATGATATTTCAGCACAATTTCACTTCATATTTCTGTTATCACATGGTAAACATGTTTTTCTAGGTTTAAGCCCATTTTATCTTGTCAAAATTAAACGGAATGACCTATTCTTTTTATGGCTTTGGTTTCTGAAGAGACTTATTTTAGGAATCCTGGGAGGGGGGACTTTTCCAAATGGACTTCTGCCCGAAATGGTTTCCTCGGAAGAGGGAATTTATGAAATGTCAAGGACATCCCAGGCCGGTGGGGCGCCGAGGCAGGGCGCCAGTGGGACTGTGGGTGGGCGAGGGACTCCCTTCCTGGAGGGCTCAATCCCGCCCCCAGGGAGGGGGGCCAGGAGGTGGCCCCGCCAGTTCTGGGGCTGCACCTGGAAGCAGAGACAGAAGAAGAGGGAGGATGCAGTGCCCAGGGGTGGGGATCTTGGCCTGCACAAGGGGACCAGGGGACCAGGACACTGCAGAGGACGAGCCCAGGGTCAGCTGCAAGGCCCAGGCTTGCAGGCAGCAAGAGGACTGATTCTGTCTGTGGATGTCGTGTACTGAGG